TTTTTCTTCAGCATCAATAAGAGATACAAAACCTTACAGATTTTCTTTCTGCCTTCAAATATAAAGACTTGTTTGGCTTTTGAAATTCAGCTTAACAAACATTTAGGCAGAGCCAGGCATTTTGGAGCTTGTAGAGCCGACTAGCTCACAGCATCTACCACCTGGAGACACACAGCATAAATTTCTGGAGCAAATGGACAAATGCTGCTGAACTAATGATCAGAGGCAAAGCGTCTCACACAAGGGTGGAGGTTTCCTCCAATCTCTTGGTCTAGTAGCCAGCCTTAGATTACATACTTCCTTTCTTCTTGTTAAGAAAATTCTTCTTCTGAAGCAGTCTTTCCACACACATAGCCTTACTTAGCCCTTCTTCTTGGTGAACTGTTGAGTTAAGGAAGATACATTTGACTTGGAAATGTAGTTCAACTTTAGGTGCAAAGAATTTCCAGATACTTATTTATAGTCACTAAATGGGTTTAAACAGTCAATAACGGTATAGTCTAGGATGCCTGTCATCTGACAAATCATTTTTTACCTGTGTAGAGAGTGTGTTTCAGCCTATCTGCAGACATGACACTGTGTGAGGCTCTAGTGGATTTGTTTTAGAAAAACCAATATTGCTCCTTTCCAGAAATTTGGAACTATCCGGGCAGACTTGATTGAACAGATGAGATTCAAACAGAGACTGAAAGTGATCCAGACGCTGGAGGATACTACGAAACGCAACGTGGTGAGTCCTTTGAGAAGTAGCAGACGGCCATCTGTCTCCCTCCTTCCTCACACACCTGCCCGCTCACACATTCCTGCTTGGCAGCACCCAAGATGGTTTAAAAGAGGAAAATTAGGGACTTTCCCAATATGACATTTTTTTGAGTTTGTAAGATTCATTGTGCTTTTTATTTTTCTAGGTACGAACCATTGTGACAGAAACTTCCTTTACTATTGATGAGCTCGAAGAACTTTATGCTCTTTTCAAGGTGAGTTTCAAAGTAAATTCGTGCCCATTCAAAGGAGTGAAAGAGTTCACTGTCACAATTCGGTTCTTGATTTTTCTGTGGAATTATCATGGGATAGCCTGTATCTCCACACACATAAATGGAAAGGTAGATCTGAGAGTCCAAAACTGGAGGACTTACTATGAAAAATAAACATATTCTTATAACTAGCTTCAATTCCTGTTTTTGCTCCTTCGGGTCCAGCTAACATTTTAGCAGTTTCCTTGGACCTAAGAAAATAAGTTGTTGCTTCATCACTAAAACAACGTCTAAGATTCTTGTACATTGTGATTTCCTATATTAAGCCATAAAACACCCTTATAAAGAGATCATGTGTTTGTCGCTAGAATGGGAATTATGCTGTTAACACATCTAAGGCAGTCATTTTCAACCGGTGTCCTGTGGGAGGATCTTAGGTGTGCTGCTAAAGTTTTTAAAGATGATCAATTATTTCCAAAAGAAGTTCAAAGCACAATATATTCTTTTTTTTTTTTTTTGGATCAACATAATTTAAGTGCGCCACAGAAGTGAGATAAAAAAAGGTTGAAAACCATGGGTATAAAGAAAAGCATAATTGGTTAAATTTCTGTGATTTCCATTTTAGAATTTGTCCCCTACCATTCTGGACTTTGAATAAAAAAGTTGTTGTTGTTAAAAAAGGAATGTATAATATTTTTCTTCTAGAAAATGTTCTTTGTGAGAACTATCATTATCAACATCATGGGTTAAAATGTGGCGATTGACAGGAAAGGCAATGTTTCGAGGATGCCTTTTATGCAGGTGGCCAATTTCATCACCATCTCTAAGTACAGTCAGAACTAAATTTGGCTGTTCTGAGCACTGCAAAGATGGAAGAGAAGAAAACATAAAGGAACAAATATCTATAAGAGCTGAACACTAGTGACTGTTACAGTCAGAATGTGGTTGTAATGAGCATAGCTATGCGGTGTTCTTGCTCAGATTCCTACTTGCCCGTGGGCTGCTGGGGGGGGGGGGGCACCACTGTTTTCTTTAGTTTTGTTTCAGTAGTGCCTGGTAAGTGCTCAGATATGAGTCCTAGTGTCTCTCCCCCAGTAGGTGTTCCAAATGCATGTATTGAATTTGTACATATATTAGTCATCAGTCCCCCATGAAGCACAGTCCCTGGGTTTTTCTGATGAGGAAGCCAAGGTCCAGGGACGTGGTGGTGCTCCCAGCCTCAGTGTTGGTTAGCGTGCACTTCATGCGGCAGCCACACCACCGGCAGTGGGCAAGGGCACCACCACCATTCAAGCACTGGATGGCCACAGGCTTATTAATGTCACATGTGTTAAGTGTGTGTCGCTAATTGCTTGGTGTAAATTGGTTGTCCATAAGGAAGGGGTCCCTCTGCTTCATAAAGGAAAGATGATGATCCAACTGAGATCAGGTTTTAAAGGGATGCTTCTGACCTTAAGCAGTCTTCTTCATGGGGTGGTAAGTGGTAGGGCCAGGATTCTGGGAAAGCTAAACAGAAGTGATAGAAGTAGCTGGACGTAGCAAGACCCCAGACAGGTAAGAGAAAGGGCTATGACAGTAGACAGAAGAGGCTGACTCTGGGGGACACCAGCAGGAAAGGGAGCAGGGCTACTTAAACAGAAGTCCCAGTCCAGAGGTTGTTGAAACCATGTCTTACCTGGCATTTCTCCAGTTTCTGGGCCGTGCACCTCGAAGGTCTTACCTGGGTGATGGAGGTTGTCATTCAAACCCCAAACCTCCATCAAACCCCTATGCTCAAGACAGCAAGATTGCTTCCTATCCGAACCCCTGCCTTAAAGACGTGATGACAAAGCCAAGTTCTCCAGCTCTCTGAGCATGGAAAAAGCAACCTAAGGCCGATTCCTTGTCGGGGGTTCGATGGCGTCTCTGGCACTGTGAATCTAAGAGAAAAAAATCTTCACTTATGGACTCTCTCTTGGTTCTTTGAGACATTTTAATTGGCTATACTTTCACAAACATTTACTGAGTCATTGCTATGTGTCAGGCACCCTGTCAGACCCCTTAGTCCTTCAGAAAGCCAGTTTATGGACACTTTCCTGGAGATGGGATGCAAAGGAATGATGCCTCCCCAGGAATTCACTGCATAGTCTTTGGGGTAAAACTTGAGGGGGCAGAATATTCAAGAATGCCTCAGGTGGATTTGGTAGAACATGTAGTGCAGGGCCCCTTTGCCTAGTTTCTTTAGAACTCCTTTTAAATTAGTCCTTCTGTTTCAGTATCTGGGCCCCTAGCCCACAAATGACAGTCTAAGTCTCATCACACAGGGGAAGTGGCTTGTTTTCTGCTGGTGGTTGTGAGCCCAGGAAAGTGCCTGCATCCATGTTGAGGCCTGGTTCACCATCACTGGGGTGCTTGGGAGGAAGCATTTTGGGTAACCGTTATCAGCCGATGCCACCAAGGTAAAGAGGACACCTCCCAGGGAAGTATCACTGACATGTCCCTGCTCACAGAGGGTTGCTGGCTCCACACATGCTAATTCAGAGACCAGATCAGTCCAGCCACTGATCTCAGCATTCTCCTTCCCCCGGTCATCTATCTGCCTCCACCCAGCAGCCAGCAGTGCAGTCCCAGGCCCTGCACAAGTTTGACACAGCCTCCTGTACCTGCCCAGCTGTGCTGCAGTCGCCCTCCTGGTGGAGGTGCGGCCCTCCACTTCTCCTGCCTCCTCTCTTCCTTACTCATGCGTCTCTTCTAGCTCATTCACTGCCATTCTCAGTAAATAACTGTGATCAGAACAGGGGTCTTCTTGGCTCCTTTTCTGCTGAGAGCAGAACTGAACGAAGTACTCCATATCCACAATGGACTCCTCCCCTCTTCAGAAAAGCAGAAAGATTTTCAAAAGTGCTGTTTTCTCTTATGATATTCACGCACGTTTGTAGTGAAACACTCAGTCAATACAGTAGGGAATAAAGTAAAAATAAATCCTCCTTTTCATGCTCCTTTCGCCTCCCTCCCTGCCACTCAGAGCTGACTGTAAAAGCCTGTGTGTGGGTACGGTGCTCCCCCAGACCTTTCAAGTACATGCTTTATATTTGTGGTCTCCCGGAAAGGGGTGTGTATTGCTGCCAGAGTCAGTACGACCTAATGAATGAAGAGGCTACCTTGTTCCTAAGGACAGAAAACAGAAAGCCCTTTGCTGGGTCCGGATCTCTGTTCTGCTTACCTTAGTGTTTCCTGTACTAATAATTTCTCTAGAGCTATTTGCTGGTGTGTGAAATAGGATGACCACATCCTTGTAGAGTTGGATACTGTGTGACTATAATATTTATGGTATTTTGGTAACCAGGAAAGAAGGGGGTTGGCGGCGCCTATGGCTCAAGGAGTAGGGCGCCAGCCCCATCTACTGGAGGTGGCAGGTTCAAACCCAGCCCCAGCCAAAAACTGCAAAAAAAAAGAAAGAAAGAAAAAAGGGAGTTATAAATAATCTATGGGGTATTATGGTGGGGATCAGGAAACCCCAAATCTCATCATGATTCTGTCTGACCTTGTGTGGGTAAGTTCACATGTGGGCTTTACCATCCTCACCTGGTGGTCACAGCATCTAAATCTCAGATTGTTTTCAGTTTAGCATTCTATTTATTTCCTTTAAGTCAAAGAATTCTCCTTATGGGAACTATTTTGAAACTATGAGTGCGTATATAACACCCACATGCAGTAATTGAACCCCACTTTTCCTGCCAGATGTAAGCTGCAGGAACAACTGGCGTGGGGTCCAGGGAGGCTGCTCCAGTGGGGCTGTGTGTCGAACCAGGAAGAGGGGAGGTGCTGAGGCCAGAGCCCTGCCCCAGGGGATGCACACAGGTTAACCTAAAGCCCTTTCCAAACCTGAGGGCTGGTCTTTTCTTTCTGGTAGTTGCTGCAAAACAAGACTCCATAGTGATCCCCCAGTGATCATTCCCTTCTTCCTTTTCCAGGCAGAACATCTCACCAGCTGCTACTGGGGTGGGAGCAGCAATGCACTGGACCGGCACGACCCCAGCCTGCCCTACCTCGAGCAGTACCGCATCGACTTTGATCAGTTCAAGGGCATGTTTGCTCTGCTCTTTCCCTGGGCGTGTGGAACTCACTCAGACATTCTGGCCTCCCGCTTGTTCCAGTTATTAGATGAAAATGGAGACTCCCTGATTAATTTCCGAGAGTTTGTCTCTGGCCTGAGTAAGGACATGATCTTACGGCATAAACTAGGACAGCATGGGGGGGGGGCGATGATCCCAGTGTCCCCCAGTGCTGCCCTCAGGGCCACAGCCTGCACTGCTCTGAGAATTGGTTTTAGGGGGCAGAGAAGCACACGTGAAGTCTTGCAAATTGCATATAAAATTTGTTCTTAGTGATAGTGCGTGGATACATCATTGCCTTCTACATCTGATCGCCCTCAACATTATTTAAAAATTCATTTTTAGAGGGCAGCACCTGTGGCTCAAAGGAGTAGGGCGCCAGTCCCATATGTCGGAGGTGGCAGGTTCAAACCCAGCCCTGGCCAAAAACTGCAAAAAATAAAAAATTCATTATTAGAGAATTCACAAGAAAATAAAATGCCAACATAAATACTGAAACCATAGACCAGAACTACTTAATGTGAGAAAAAAATGTTTGAGAGGTGAATTGCTTTTCTTTGACAAAAAGTTATATACAATGTTATATAAAAAATTTCATAATATTTCATTACAGTCCTTTGATAAAGGGCTGAAAAACCATAGCAGCTCTGCAGAGTCTGTGGAAGTCTTTTCTCCCCCTTTTGTCGGGAGGAAGCACCCTCCACACCACCTACCCAGCAGCAGGTGGGCGGCTGCCCGCCAGCCTGGCTGTCTGCCTTGCTTACTGCCCTACATATTATCGCCCTCTTGGACTTTGTTCCATATATAACTGGACAAAAAAAGCTACCTAGTAGTAGAGCTTGGCCCCCTGGTGTGTGGTTGTGGATGTTGTAGGCCTTCTGTCAGCATGAGGCAAGAAGGAATTTTCTTTAAAATTCTAATTGTATCATTGGGCCATATACTTTGATATGCCCAAGGACAGATAAAAGGTCAGCCACAAACCCAGCATTTCCAGACACCACCCTTAATCTGTAAGAGTAATATGTGGAAGGCGTAAAGCCCCGAGGAAGCTGATGGTCTTTTTAAAAAAGGGAAGGCATGTAGGCGAGGTTAAAAATAATTGTATAAAGCACTCTATGGGCTTAAAAGGGGAACCTGGAGGGACTCACCTTTATTGAGTTCAGGTCCTGTTCTGATACTTGAGACATGTACTCTACTATTTAACCAAAATAACAGCCCTTTGAAGTAATAATAATAAGGATATCCACCATTCATGCCGCATCACTCCATGCCAGGTACTCCCTAATGCTGTCTGTTCATTTAATTTGCCCAGGGACACACCATTAGTGATTTTATTTGAATCCGTGTACCCCAGAGGCACAGTTTGTGCTGTTACTATTTTGCTTCATTACCTGTCTGCTTCCCCGTTTTCAGCTAAAGAAATGGAAGCTCAGGGGGAGGGAAAAGGGAGGGAGGAGTGGGTAAAAAAATAAAAGAAAAGAAAAGAAATGGAAGCTCAGGAAATTTGAGTAACATGCTAGTTACATAGTTATAATAATAACTAATGTTCATAACAAATATATAATAACATTTTAATTATATGTTATATATAATTTTTTTTTGCAAGAAAAGCAATCCACCTCTCAAACATTTTTTTTCTCACATCAAGTGGTCCTGGTCTACAGTGGCAGTATTTATGTTGCCATTTTATTTTCTTGTGAATTCTCTAATAATGAATTTTTAAATAAAACATTACCTGATGACGTAGGTCACTACAAAAGTTTTGAGACAGTGTGGGTTATGGCCCATTATTTCACTTCCAAGAAACTCAGTCACAGACACTGTCCTTTCTGATTCACCTGTGTAAGTTTCGACTTGCTCAGCTTATTGGTGTTGCTGGGAGGGCTTCATTTCTTTCCATCCACACAGATTTTATACTTCTTGCTGATTTTTGTGTATCTCAAAACTTTAATAATAATTTACATACCTGCTGTTGAATTAGACTGAGAGGCACAGTTAGTACATGTTGGACCCAGGATTTCAAACAAGGGCTGTCTGTAGTGAGAGCTTATCCTTGTCTTACTACTTGATGGTGAGAAGAAAAAGAGGATTTTTTTTTTCTTTTAGGAGAAGGAGGCAATATTAATTTCTAATTACATAGATAATACATAAGTGCATTGCCTTTTTTTTTAAAGCAAGACTAGAGATCCCTTTGACCCTATCCTAATCTTTTCACCCTCCAAGGTAACTAATGATTACCGTATTGATGTCTATCAAAAAGAGGATTTAAAAAAAATTATTTTTGGACTGGATTAAAGAGGGAGGAAAAAGAAAGAGCTTCTGAATATAGAAAGAGACAAATATTAACATTTGGTTTACTGAAATTTACTCAACCTCAGTAAAGGGAAGACGCTTCAGAATCCTCAAGAAAGGACAGAGGGGCTTGAAGTCCAGGGCGGAATAAACACTGGGAAAGAATGCTTAGACTTTCTAAAACACAGTTGAGTTCCTGAGCAAAGTAAACTGCGTCCCGGGTGACTGGGAGAGCTCTCACGTGGGATTGCAGAGCCATTGTCAGTTATGTGGATCAGTTGCAGTTACGGAGACAGGCTAGTGCAGCAGAAATGGGAAAGTCTGTCTGAGTTCAAAGAAATTAAAAAATGAATTCTGAAAAGGATTTATCAGTAATTTTAGTGTCAGTCCTCAGAAAGATCTAGAAGAAATTATTGGACAGTCTGTGTGGGATCAGAAATGAGGGATTATTGTCAGAGGCCGTGTATTAGCTGGATCTCCTTTTCCAATAGTGTTGCTGAAAGGTGGTTTCTCTAAATATATGATAGTGAGTGGTGAAGCATCCAGTCATTGGATAAATAATAAGTGGAACTCTACGGAAATCAGTGATTGCAGAACTTGTTGAACTCTGCACCCAAGGTGTGATGGTTAATAAGTCAGTTTCAACTGACAGTTTGTAAGTACCTTGGGCCCAGGGGATAAAGTACCTTGGGCCCAGTGGATAACCTCTTTGTGTTATTTGCCTTACTTGCCAAATAGATAAAAGAACAATTTAAATACAGTTCCTAGAAGAGTGCCTGGCTCAAAAAGTATTGGTTTTTATGGTCACTATGATTACTTTTCATCCCCCTCTGCTGGACTCAGCCAGCACCTGAGCCCGGAAGGCAGAGAATGAATACTTACCAAATGGTTGGGCTACGCAAAGGTAGGGTAGGAGCCTACCTCCCATGTTAGCTGTCAAATACAAGATTTACGGGGGCACCCATAGTTCAGTGGTTAGGGTACTGGCCACATGCTTTGGGGCTGGTG